TTCATTTAACAATATTCTCATTGTATTTTGCACAATCAATTGATTGTGTACAATATTTCTCCACAACTCAAATTCATTTTGAATGTTTACCATCAACTAGTAACTGTTGAATATTCAGACTGTCAATTTTATGTGGAATTCATCACTATCACTTATTTAACATCATGTCAACTCATCAAATCCAATCAGTGATTTTAATTGAAAAACATATATCTGTGTAGAATATGTGTATCTACATGTTGGCGATGAAAGTGTGGAATTCTGTGTGATTTCAAGTAATTTGATGTTGTGTTTCAGGGAGTGGTCACGATGTGTCCGTTTCCGATCATGTGAACTTTTAGATGGTAGAAGTCTTGATTCTATGCAACCATCTCTCATAGTTGTCATGACATCAACAAATGGACGACGATATTTGAAGTGAATTACACACACGAGTGATGCTTTCTTGTGAAGGACATGGTAGTAGATTTAATGGGTCTCTGTTGCTCAGTGGATCGGTGAACTGGTGGTTTGATTTTTTGAGAGTATCGATCGTATGACGTGATAAACATGTGATGGAGATGGAAATGGAACAGGTCAATAGATATAGATTTGCAGCTTCTATTGTTTGAGAATCTCTTTCACATCATTGTGTCAACTGAGAATATCTACTCAAATACATCGGTCACTCTCACTTGAATAATGGTTGCATTCTGATTGTATGGAGTTGAAGAAGGAGTGGAATGTATTATGTGAAACTGGTTTGAGTGAAAGTGTGAATATTTTGTGAAGAAATGTGTGGACGAACATATTATAAATTCGCAATATTATGTATTCTGTTTGAATCTACCGACGCATGCATGAAATATGATCGAGTGATAATCACTAAATGACTTGTATCCATTTCCAGAGATCAAGTAAATTAGTGAATATACTGGTGAACTGTCGTGTAGATAGGTCTGATGTTTCTGTTCACTTTGTATCAATCGAATCATTGATATTACTAGTCAGTATGTGTGCATATTTGGAATTTGTACACAGGATGGGAACTGAACACAATATTGTAGAGATGGTTGGAAAATGTTAGTTGACAAATAAATTTAGTCCGATTTTGTGTCATTTAATTCTCATTCACATTGTGCACTTTTAACTGTTGATTGTCAACCGTTTATTTGAATGTGTGATTTTTCATTCTTTATGTAAACACACTTTAATGATTAATTATCACTGAAAATACAACGCACACGTTAACTCACCTCTCGTTCTCAACAACACTTCTCACTGTCACAACTAGTTAAGTTGTTGTTGTTCCAGTTTCGTTTCTAGATCCTAAATCAACACTGAGACTTTGAACGTAGAAGTGTGATTTGTATCACACTTCAAATCACCCATTTGTTTGGTGTCAGCCCAAACACTACTAATCAATCGTAAACATACACTTGAATATTTGTTGTAAATATTTTGTTTGTTCAACCATATTTCCCATCCACTATGTATGCAAAACACTTGTGTTTTATCGTCATAATCATCATCGTTATTATTGTTATTGTGATTGTTATTATTATTATTGCTGCCGCTGAAACTAAGTAACAAGAGAAATATTTACTCTTTCGCAAAATATCTCATCTCACATTGTTCACAAGTTGTTCAATCAAGCATACTTCATGGGATTAATTGAGTGGTTTAGTTAGCTCACTCATAACTCCATTTCATATAGAATTTCTGAAGAACATGTTTATTTTATTCCGAAGTAAGGATTGTTGAGAAAACAGTTTGAATTATAGGCATTGTGTGATCATTTTTACATCTATTGTCGCATATCATATGGTTCATATGATTAACAATAACTTCTCTTTCTTTTTCAACATGATAATTACGGCTTATTTTTTTGGAATTGATACAGAATATTCTATGTTATTAATTCCATTTTTGTATTAACATCACCTTGTGAAGAAACACTTTGAAATAGTATCCCATGGGAATGTCGTTTCCAAGTCCAATGGTGTATGAGAATTTTTTAAATATTTGATGTAAATTATTTATTTATTTGAACACATATTAATATTGGTACAAAGGGGTACCAGATCCATATGCGCCACACAAATCATATTTGATTTGTGTGAGGCCTGTGTTACCACCCGAGTGCCCAAACCGAAGCAGGTGGTTTTCTTACATGGCCACATCCCTGATGTGAATTTGTTGTTGATTAACATACCTTATTTGATCATTAATTTTTTTAAAGACAAAAGTATCAGGTCAATAACTTATATCTAATTTTTGAAGTAAATATTGAGATTTCCTTTAGAAACTCTATCCATTTTACTTGTACCGATTTATTAATGAATGTAATGATAACAGTTTAGCTGATGTATATAATGAAGTTCATTTATTGTTCCTATTAAAGGAAAGAGGACGACCATGGAACACACTGGGTCGTGAATTGGAGGTAGACATGATATAATGAGTAGCACTTGTTAATATGTGGAAGGGATTGTCTGAGAGAGTGTTTGTTGGCAAATCCAGTTGGATGGTCCGTGCTCCACATGGAGCAACTGTCATAAGTAAACTAGTACTCTAATTTTCATTTTACATCCGATATGCAAAATGTCTATCACTATTACAAGAAGAATCATTTCATTATTGTTATTCGTTTGGTTGGAATAATTGCGACAAGCCAACATGTGTCTTGCACTTGAATAACAGACGAGTACAATACCTAGTGATTTAAAGTAAAAGTCAATTGTAATAAAGTGAACAATATCTCAAACTAGTATTGAATAATGTAGGTAATTACAGGTATCAGTTTTACAATGACTTTAAACGTTATCGAATAATATTAGTAAGAAGCAAACAAAAACATTAAGATTGGTTAATAAATAATATCTGCTTCAACCTAGCGCTTCTGAATGACACCGAATAGATTCACTTTTATAGCTAGTCAGAATAAGGTTTTATTTAGTGCTTGTTGAGTTAATTTGGTTGAAATAAGTAAATAACTCTATTTGAATTATCTGATATCTTTTTGAAATTCTTATGAAGTACATTAGTCATCATCAAGAAGTAATTTTTATCGATAGGATTGTCCATAATCGAAGGGAAAAATCATTCAAGCTAGAGGTTTTTCTTGAAACCTAATTGCTAAAAGCCTGATACTGTTCAAACCTCACTACAAACGGAAGCACCAAGTTACAAGTATTCCCAGCTGATGGGTACTAAGTGAGATGGAATATTTACCGTGAGTTTCCCTATTAACCATAAATCATAGCAATGAAGGATTCGTTTAGGGAGTCCAGACATTAATGGAGAGTGACCCGATTCATTACACCACATAGAATAAATAATAAATAAAAACCCTGACGAATATCAAGGAATTTATTTAATGAGTGTCTTCCACACATAGTAGATGTAAAGCTATTTAGATGCTGTTTTGTTTACAAAGGCAAGTCTTTATGGTTTACACTTCTATAAAGTTATCTATGTTTGAAAGAGAGTATGGATGATGATGTCGAAAATTGACTAAAATAAGTGATTTTATTTACTTTCTATTCAGTATTTTGACTTTATCAATCAAGTAGAATAATACGCAGTTACGTATTGACTTTATTTGGCTTTACGAACTAATTATCGCTTTTACTTAGCTTTCCAATAGTGGACACGAGTCAGATATTTATGTAAAAACAGATGAATCAGTAAATAAAGATGACGGTAGTTAGACGCGATTATTTATCTTGTATATCAGAGTTCAGCCTAACGAATATTTATCTGAAAGCAATACTGCCCTTCGATATACCTTTCCTGAAATTTATGTATTGTTGTAAATGTTTCTGTGATGAAAGTCGTTAAAATAATTCCTTATAATAGACAATAATATCACATTCTGAGAAGTTTCTGTTATATCAATCCTACAAATAGTTCAATTGAATTTTAACAAAACTTTTACAGCTCCAAAATAACTACTGAATTGTATACAAAAATTGATCCTCGCTAAGCTTATTGTAATCAGCTTCTGCATCAGTAGGTCTCAACATACAAAAGGGAAAAAACAAGATCTTCAAACACAACACGGAGAGCATCAACCCAATCATACTTGATGGCGAAATTCTGGAAGAGGTGGAAACGTTCACGTGCCTGAACGGCATCATTGATAAACAAGAAGGATTGGATGCAGATGTGAAGGCGAGGATTGGCAAAGCGAGGGCAGCATTTCTACAATTGAAGAATATATGGAACTCAAAACAGCTGTCTGTCAACCAATAACGAAGTCAGAATCTTCAATACGACGTCAAGACAGTCCTACTGTGCGGAGCTAAAAAGTGGAGAACTACTGCACCCATCGTCAAGAAGGTACAGGTATTTATAAGCAGTTGTCTACGCAAAATACTCAACATCCATTGGACGGATACTATCAGCGACAGCGTTTTATGGGAGAGGACAAACCAGCTTCCAGCTGAAGAGGAATTTCTTAAAAGATTTTGAAAGAGGATCAGACATGCATTAAGCAAATCAGCGAACTACGTCACGAGGCAATCCCTAACTTGGAATCCGTGAGGGAAGTGGAAAACATCTAGGCCAAAGAACACATCAGGCTGGAAAAGAGAGATATGAAAATGATGAATAATAACTGGAAAGAACTGGAAAGTATTACGTAGGACAGGGTTGGATGTAAAATGCTGGTGTGCAGCCTATGTTCTTCCACGAGGGTCAACAGACATAAGTAAGTAAGTATCTATTTTATAAAATCTTTAACAAACTAACAATGATACGGTAGTTCAAATAAGATCACATCACTTGATCAAGTTTCTTTACAATATAAAATCAGAACATTTTTTTGTTCATAAAATCATCTACATTTATTAAAATGAAAAATTAAACATAAAAAAATGACAATAACTAACATTGAATTCTTCTACATTATATGTTAACTCAATATTTCATTTAAATAATACACACATATGTTATGTAATATGGAATATACAAATAGTTTGATTATTTATTTTTTTTTATTTATTTACGACCAAAACAAAAAAAACAAACAAACAAAAAAATGAGAAAATGAAAACAAATACGAAAAAAATCAATAAAAAATTATAGATTATGACATTTATTTATTAATCTATTCTTTATATTATGTATTAATAATCAAAAATATGTCAACAATAAGATGAAAGGGTGAAGATGGTTAACAAGATACACTGGTTTCGGGTTGCCATAGCAACATAATGAAATTTTACTTTGATTGTTTTAATATTAATAATGATCTTTATATTATTCTTTTATTTATTTCTTTTCAAAATATTATACCATATATACCATATAATAATTTGTATATCATTTCTAATATTTATAGCACCTAACATTAATATATAACTAGTAATTGATTGTATTAACCAATATAATATTGATATTAAATTAAATAAATTATCATTCCAATTATTATTATTTTTAGCTATAAAAAAACAACAATAATCATCATATATTAAACCAAATATAAATAATGATAATAAACTTAATAAATATAATATAGCACATATTAACATCATTTTAGCTACTATAATTTTAATTGATTTTTTATGATGATTATAATTATTATAATTTATTAATTTATTGATTTTTAATTGTTTATTATTATTATTATTATTATTATTATTATTGTATTGATTTATATGATTAAATGATAATTGATTTCTTGTTGATGAAGTAATATATGTGAATGATCGAATTATCCTTTTATTGATTTTTATTGAATTATTATTATTACTATTATTAGTAGTATTATTATCATTAGTAGTATTATGAGTAGTATTATAATATGATAATAATTTTATACGATATTTCATATTTTTTAATTTCCATTTAATTAATACAATAATTATTATAATTGTTGATATAGTTATAAGTAATACAGGTATAATTAATGTAATTGTAAATTTTATTATATTTACTGAATAATTACGAAATTTAATAAAACATATTGATTCATTAGATATAAATAAAAATAAATTAGCTAATATACATATTATATATATTATAATAATCATTATTAATGCTGGTTTAATTAATGTATTATTAATACTATAATATTTTCTTGGATATAATATAATATAACAACGTTCTATACATAATATAACAAAATGCCATTCAGATATATCACAACTTATAAATGATATAAATATTTGTATTCTACATAACCAATCATTTGTTAATAAACGTAAATCATTACCAGTTATTGATAAATAGATTAATCTTATTAAATCAATAAAACCTATAATATTAATAATTATCATAGAAAATATAATTATTTGTGTTGATATTCTTAATGTACATATAGGCCATGTTAAATTATGTTTATAAAGTTTAGCGGATTGTCTTTGTTGTTGCTGTTGTTGTTGTGGTAGTGGTGGTTGTTGTCCTTGTTCTTGTTGTTCCTGCTGTTGTCCTTCTTGTTGTCGTTGTTGTTGTTGCTGCCTTAAATTTATATTATTTCTATTAGATATAATAGATATATGATGATTAATTTCTTGTTTTTGTTGTATATATTTTAATTTACGATTTATTCTCCAACCTAGAATATAACTAATCCATAAAAATGCTGAAATAATATGTGATATTATTGTTAATATACCAATACATCCAATAATAATTCGAATAAATTGATAATTATGATGATGTATCATTCTATTTGATATGAAAGAGTTTATGGAAAGGTTCTTTTCTTCTTTTTCTTCTTTTCTTTTTTTCTTCTTTTTCTTTTTTCTTCTTTTTCTCTTTTCTTCTTTTTCTTTATAAAATTTTTGTATTTCTTTTTATTAAAGTTTAATTTATTCTTATTTATGATATATGAATTAGAAGATCATTTTAACCATTATATTATCATTGTAACCATGATAATCATTTTATTTTAATATATATATATATATATATTAATAATATTAAAAGGGAAATGGAGAAAACAAAAAATATATATATGTAAATATATATAGTTATCCTATCAAATTAAGGATAATCTACTATACAAGGATTGGATAAGACTTATTTTAAAGAAAAACTTTCATTATTCTATTATCTTTATTGGAAAAGTTATCATCTAAACAGTATGGTATCCAATACATGTATATATATATATACATATATCTAAATATCAATATGACAGATTAATAGATAAGAAGTTTTTCCTTCTTGATAATAAAAACAACAACAAAAAAAAGAAAGAAAATGAATTTTCAAAAAAAAAACTTTTTCTTTTATTTTGATTAGAATGAGAAAAAAACAATCACTTTGTTACAAAAAAAAGCGAAATAAATAACAAAATAAATAATAATAATAACATCAACATATTGATTTTATTGTTCATTTTTGTATATGTGACTAATTTAATTTTGTTTACATGAGTTTTTTATGTTTATAATTAAAGTAACAAGAAACAATAATGAATTGAATTTATTGTGATTTTTTCATAAATATAAACAAAAAAAGATACTTAAATATACATAAGTTTGTTCTTATTATTGTTTGAATCATATGAGGAGAACGTATAATAACATATATATAACTCCGCCTGTAGCTCCTCTGGGGGTTACTGCCGGTCCCAAGCCCTGGTAAAGGAGGAGGGTTGGGCATGGGGTTAGCGACCCCATCACGTAGAAAATCAACTCGCTAAAAATACGCTAACCAAAAAAAATCATTCAAACCTTTCAAACTCTGCCCTGGGAGTAGAAGGAATAATTATGACGTCTCATCATGAAAGCCGAGTTCCTTCGAAAGTCATGAAGCCGATGCACTTTCTTACAACCAGAGCGACAATTTTTATAGGTACATGGAATGTCCGAACAATGTGGGAGACCGGAAGAGTTTTCCAAATTGCAGCAGAAATGAGAAAATACAACCTGGAGGTGCTTGGAATCAGCGAAACACATTGGACGCAGGTTGGATAACAACGACTGTCTTCAGGAGAACTTCTGTTATACTCCGGTCATGAAGAAGAAAATGCCCCACATACACAAGGAGTTGCATTGATGCTGTCCAGAAAAGCACAAAATGCACTTATAGGATGGGAATTTCATGGACCAAGGATCATCAAAGCCTCCTTCAGAACAAAGAGAGAGGGCATTTCAATGAACGTCATCCAATGCTATGCGCCTACCAATGACTACGATGAAGACGCTAAAGATTAATTCTACGATAGGCTGCAGTCGATCGTCGAGAAGTGCTCAACCAAGGACCTGACAATTCTGATGGAAGATCTCAATGCTAAGGTTGGAATGGACAACACTGGATATGAAGACGTCATGGGACAACATGGACTGGGAGAAAGGAACGAAAATGGTGAGAGATTTGCAAATCTATGTGTCTTCAATAAACTGGTCATAGGTGGCACCATATTCCCACACAAAAACATACACAAAGCCACTTGGATTTCACCGGATCACACTACACAGAATCAAATCGACCATATCTGCATCAACAAAAAGTTCAGGAGGACGATGGAGGATGTGAGAACCAGAAGAGGAGCTGATATAGCATCCGATCATCACTTGTTGGTCGCCAAGATGAAACTAAAACTCAAGAAGCAGTGGACAACGGCGCGGACAACATCACAAAAGTTTAATACGGCCTTTCTTCGAGATGCTGACAAACTCAACAAATTCAACATAGCCCTCAGCAACAGGTTCGAGGCCTTTCATGACCTACTCAATGGAGAGGGAGCTACCATGGAGAGCAACTGGAAAGGTATCAAGGAGGCAATCGTTTCAACGTGTCAAGAGGTTCTGTGCCAAAAGAAGCACCATCACAAGGAATGGATCACTGTTGGTACACTGGATAAGATTGAAGCAAGGAGGAAGAAGAAGGCAGCAATCAACACCAGCCGAACCAGAGCGGAAAAAGCCAAGGCACAAGCCGAATACACAGAGGCAAACAAGCAAGTGAAGAGGAGCATCAGAACCGACAAACGTAAATATGTGGAAGATTTAGCGATGACAGCGGAAAAGGCTGCAAGAGAAGGAAACATGAGACAACTGTATGATACAACAAAGAAACTTGCTGGAAATTACCGTAAGCTAAAAAGACCAGTGAAAAGCAAGGAAGGCAAAGTAATCACCGACATTGAAGAACAACGAAACAGGTGGGTAGAACACTTCAAAGAACTCTTAAATCGACCAGCTCCACTGAACCCACCCAACATCGAAGCAGCACCCACGGACCTCCCAATCGATATTGGCTCACCAACAATTGAAGAGATCAGCATGGCCGTTAGACAAGTCAAGAGTGGCAAAGCAGCGGGACCAGACAACATCCCGGCAGAGGCACTGAAAGCAAATGTAACAGAAACTGCCAAGATACTCCACATCGTCTTCAGTAAGATTTGGGACGAAGAACAAGTATGTTGCATTGACGCGCTTATTCATTCAGTAGATTGTGAAAATGTTCATGTGCATTGTGACATTGGTATATACGATAGTCTAACATTGAATCCATCTAGATTTATGATGTTGAGGAAACACACAAAATAGACAGTAATTAAGACAGCATTAATCGTGTGCAGATTAGTTAATGTCATAAAATATTGTATAGAGTGAAGAAGTGTGTGTACGGTGAAGTGGACCAGTCTATATAATACATATTGATAAACAGTATTGAATTGATTTTAATAGATAGTGAGGCATGATGAACTGGTGTGATGTAATTGATAATAGTGTAATGTAGTAGAATATGATGATTGTGTTGTGTATGGAATGAATGAGTCGGTGTAGTGTATTAGATAATTGTGAAGGCAATTGTTGTTGAGTGAGTGAGGGAATGGATGAGTGAATATATTGTATTTTTGTATAGTGTATGAATAGTATAATAGTAGTGATAGAAAGTATGTGAATAAATGAGATGATGAATGATGGTAGTATGTGATTGAATTGATATGGAATGAATGTAATAGAATAGAATGGGATTGAAGTGTATAGTTGATGGTGAATAGTTCGATAGAATTATGTTATGAATTAAAGGGAGGACTGTGAGACCTCCCCACTGACAAAAACTACACGCCCGAGCGCACCCGATTAGGGTTCGTCGCGAGTTTCAACCCACCGAAGTGCAATGGTGAGCCTCCACCCGGGGTCAGAGCATTCCTGATCACCCTGAACCCGGCGCCAGGTAAGTTTAAGCACTAGTCAATAGCCTGTCGCCCGATCATTCTCAATAACATTGCAATAAAATCACTCTCTGCAAATTAACACTGCATTCCTAATTCAAACATTCACATCAACAATATTTTATGCATTCAACTAGCTACAAGTTAATCGCCCAACATTATTTCATAGATATAGTAGACCAGTTTGCAGTAGACATGTCACTATGTTCATTTCCTTACTGGTAAACTCTACACGCAACTCTACATGCAACATCTTTTTAACAACAATGAAAAATATGGAGTAGGGATAATAAAGAAAAAAGTTGTGTAAGCAAAGGAAATGAGTGATAACTGAATAAAAAGTGGTCATGAAAACATAGAGTGTTTGTGAGTCAGTGATATGGATTTAATGCTGGTTAAAACAATAAGAGACTGGATCATGAAGACGTCAACATCTGGAGGAAAGCACGGGATACAGTGGACAGGCAGGACGCAGCTGGACGATTTAGACTTCGCGGATGATCTGGCTCTTCTATCACAAACGCAACAACAAATGCAGGAGAAAACGACCAGCGTGGCAGCAGCCTCAGCAGCAGTAGGTCTCAATATAAACAAAAAGAAAAGCAAGACTCTCCGATACAATACAATATGCACCAACCAAATTACACTTGACGGAGAAGCTTTGGAGGATGTGGAAACCTTTACATATCTGGGCAGCATCATTGATGAACACGGTGGATCAGATGCAGATGTGAAGGCGCGGATCGGCAAAGCAAGAGCAGCATATTTACAACTGAAAAACATCTGGAGCTCAAAACAATTGTCAACCAACACCAAGGTTAGAATTTTCAATACAAATGTGAAGACAGTTCTACTGTATGGAGCGGAGACGTGGAGAACTACGAAAGCCATTATCCAGAAGACACAAGTGTTTATTAACAGCTGTTTACGCAAGATACTTCGGATCAGATGGCCAGACACTATCAGCAACAAGTTACTGTGGGATAGAACAAACCAGAATGCAGAGGAGGAAGAAATCAGGAGGAAGCGCTGGAAGTGGATTGGGCACACTTTGAGGAAATCACCTAATTGTGTCACAAGACAAGCCCTCACATGGAATCCTGAAGGTCAAAGGAAAAGAGGAAGACCAAAGAACACATTACACCGAGAAATAAAGACAGACATGAGAAGAATGAACAAGAACTGGATAGAACTAGAAAAGAAGGCCCAGGACAGCGTGGGTTGGAGAATGCTGGTCGGCGGCCTATGCTCCATTGGGAGTAACAGGCGTAAGGAAGTAAGTATATATATATATACACATGCATAGTTGACATCATGAGTTAATTGAAGCTAGACCACCATGGAAAACCTGGGGAGACTAAGTAGCCGTTTGGTCCTGAAATGAGACTCCTCAGTAGTGCACATTAACGATCGTACTTCACGAAATTTGAACCCATAACCTATAGGTCTCGCACGTGAATGCCTAATCTTTTAGACTACTAAGCCGGAATGCAAAAATGTCAATATCTAACTTTAACTAATTCACAAAATTGAGCGAAAAATCCACTATTTTCTTCAGTGAATTAATATCGTACAACAGATTCAGCTTAACTCCACTGGTCGGTGGAGCAATTGGGTGATAATCTCAACTATTAAAATTACTATAATATCCACAGAATACCCCTTCTGATATTAAAAATAATTTTAACAAGTTATAATAAGACGACAATATATTAGTTTATTCAAGTGGCAAGCAAGTGGCTATCAGGACTCAGTAGCTGAGCGGCTAACGAGATAGC